AATCAAATACATAAAATATTTACTTATAAAATAAGAAAAGCTTTAAATATTTAGATTCAAAATTTCTTTAAAATAGTCTCCCTAAGGTTCCTTTATGATGGCATTTGTAATATCATTGTTCTTTCTCCATGACATTCTAAATATTTGATTTAAAAACTAAAGTTATTTAGGGCCGGGCACGGTGGCTCACGCCTGTAATCCCAGCACTTTGGGAGGATGAGATGCGCGGATCACGAGGTCAGGAGATCGAGCCCATCTTGACTAACACGGTGAAACCCCGTCTCTACTAAAAAAATACAAAAAACTAGCCGGGCGCGGTGGCGGCGCCTGTAGTCCCAGCTACTCGGGAGGCTGAGGCAGGAGAACGGCGGGAACCCGGGGGGCGGAGCTTGCAGTGAGCTGAGATCCGGCCACTGCACTCCAGCCTGGGTGACAGAGCGAGACTCCGTCTCAAAAAAAAAACTAAAGTTATTGTAAAAATACCCTTCCAAGTATCAAGTTAAATGGCATTTGTTTATTTGTTGGTTGCTGTGCGTGCACTATGAATGACATCCACGTCATCCACTGAGATGAGCACATAAGCAACTGCTCCATTTAACATGCCCTACTCCTCCGCAGAAGCCTCGGTGCAAACCGAAAAGACTCAATACCCAGAGGCACAAATGCAAAACTATACACAGGAATTGTCTGGCAAGTTTACTTCCTCCATTTCTTTTATCACGTAATGTTGAATCAAACGACAAATATCATGCAACGTGAGAAGTATAAAAAGCACTGAACTGTTTAGGTTCCGTGGTGCTTGGGAAGAAACTCAGTTCAGAGAGGCACATACTTCCCCATGAAAGTGTGAAGAAAGAAAAAACACTAAAGGTAATGAGGGTCAAGGTGAAGGAGCCCCGAGACCTTCCTACCATAACGGCCAAGGTACTTAAATCAGCGTCTACATTTGCAGGCACTGAATTATTTATTACATGCAAAAGTCCAGAGTCGCTTCACAAAAATGTTCTCCTGATGTCCAGGAGATAACAGTGGTGGTGGGGATCATGACAGCAATGACTATTTACCGAGCACCCATGGTGCACCCAGCATCAAACTCTATACATTATCTCATGTAACCCTCACAGTAACCCGATGGGGTTGGTCTCATTACTATCCTCACTTTAAAAGGGTGCTCTGGCTTAGCCCATGCCAAAGCTGATTCTAGGTCATCAAACTCCATTATCATGAGAACTGAGGATCCAAAAATGGGCTTCATCTTCAGGGGTATTCTTGGCAATATAAAACCCCTGGGAAACAGTATTTTTCTACATGTGCCGTGGATCCTCAAACAGAACTGCTAGGAAACTGGTGTGCTTCCCCAGCTGGCCTTGGACACCACACTGGTCCCCAGGTTGTCACCTCCTCTCAGGAACGGGAGCACTGAAGTCCCGCAGGCCGGCACATCAGAAAGAAAACACAAAGCCAGAATGTTCCCTGGGGCCCTTCTCAACACTTTCCGCTTGCTCAGTCTTTGTTCAGAATGAAAGACAATTAAAAATACAAATCCCCCACAAGCAGGGAGGGAACAAGAAGATAAGTGAGCAGCTGTCTGGGACTTTTCCTAAAAGAGGAAGCCTTTTGACCCAATATGACCCTAGGCTGCCCCGATGAAAACAAGCACATTTTTTGCAAAATCCATCACACCAAATGCAGCAGCAGAGACAAGCATGGGTCTAACGCCTGCAATCCCTACAGAAACGCTGTGAAACCTTCACACTTCTATTTGGAGACCCTCCTCAGGTGATGTAGAGACCCTAGGCCAGGCCCAAGTCTCCCCCAGCACTGCAGTCATGGGAAATGATGCCGGCAGAGGTGACAGGGGCAATGACAGCAGCACAGGGGCACAGGAGAGCTGAGGAAAGGGGCTGGCTCTCCAAAGTGACCATTGCTTCTTTCCAAATTACACCGCTGCACACAGAATGCGAAGACCATAGGCTTTGGCCCAGGAAAAGCGTTCTGCACCTGTCCTATCTGATGAATCAAGGAGAGTGAAAGTCGAGGCCATATCCATATCTAAGGGCTCCCAAAAGGAAGGAGTCTCATCACAGCCTCTCTTTGCTCATGTTCTCATGCCAGCTGCCATGGAAGTGCAGAGTGGGCATGGCAACAACATGGACCGTGGAGCTCTGCTGCACTGCCTGCTTTCACCCCCAGCTCTATCATTTAGCTGTGACTTTGGGCAGGTTACTGACCTTCTCTGTTCTCATCAGGCTTTGTGAGGATTAAATGAAGAAGCATGTAAAATAAGGCAATGCGGTGGCTCACACCTGTAATCCCAGCACTTTGGGAGGCCGAAGCAGGAGCCCAGGAGGTAGAGGCTGCAGTGAGCTATGATCATGCCACTACACTCCAGCATGGGCAACAGAGCAGGACCCTGTCTCAAAAAAAAAAAAAAAAAAGAAAGAAAAAGAGAGAGAGAGAAGAAAGAAATAGAGAGAGAAGAAAAGAAAAAAGCAAATAAACATATGAAATATCTAGAATAGTGTTTTGCATCTTACATGCACTATGGGTGGGAGTATAAAATAGGTACAAAATTTCCAAACAGCAGCTAGGCCATAGGTATCAAAACTTTTAAAAACACACCCTTGGACCCAGCCATGTCACTTCTTGGAATGCTTCCCAAGTAATCTATCATGTGTGAAACATGCTGTCTTAAAATTAAAAAAAAAAAATCTACAAGGATCATGAAATTTGATGCAGATACAAATGTAATATTCTTTTCTGTAAAAAAACAGATAACATGAGAAAACTGTGAATTGCAGATAAATTACCTTCCAGATACATTTAAATTATGAAAATCTAAGAGTTTTTTTTACTCCATCATTTTTTTAAAGAGCATTTTCTAGAAAAATTTATGCAAGGCCATTAAGACCTAAAAGGGTAGACTGACTTTTAAAAGTTTTTATAAATGTAAACTCATGCTGGGACCCTTAGGTGTGTCTGGCCCTGGATCGCAGCATCTAGATGGCATCAGCCTCTGCAATTCAGCAAAGCAAGAATCATGCACAGATTTCGAAGCATATGGACTCGAGCACATACTGCATTTTCAAAGTTTCTTCCCATATGGAAAATGGGAAAAGAAGTGATCCTATAGTTCCCTTAATCAGCACGTCCTCTGAGCACTGCCTTTGCAGTACGGGAGAAGTAACGTGACCTTGGGAAGGCTCAGCTCCTCCTCCTCGGAGTGCAGTGGGGAGTTCCTCTAAGACCGTGTCAGCCTGCAGTATGCAAGCCGGAAAAGACCGCTCCGTCCTCTAAGTGCAGACACTGGAGAGGTGACAGTATACAGAACAAGTTCAATAGGAGGAGGCACGTGGGAAAAGGGGAGACAGCAAAGTGGATAACTGAGCCATGCTGGCTTGAGGAGGAGGAGCATGGCAGAAGCAGCAGGACCTGAATTACCTGAGCTGTTTATGTCACCCAGTCACCTTTGACTTCATTTTTAAGCTCCACAGACCTCAAAAGGTGTGTTTTGCCCCTTCAGGAACACAGAAAAGACAAGGGGACAAGAGAGAGGAGATGTCAGTGTGGTCAGTATTTGTGAAAAGTCAAATAACAGAAACTCAAAGAGCCAGCATACTGGAACCGGAACCTGAGCAACAAAATTGCTGCTTTCTGATTTCAATCACATCACTAGCAGACTACCTTGAAAACCAACACCTTCCCAAAAACCAGCTGCCTGAAAATAACTTGTTCTGAAAGGTAGATTTTGAAGGGCACTATCTTTTCCCCTGGATGACAAAAAATGATTTCCTCCCACACTCCACATGCACAGGCTGGCCCTGACGGTCTGCTTCTTGCTGCCACTTTTCCTCTGAGGATTTCCTTTGAGCTGTCCCCTCTGCCAGGAAGCTCTCCATAACGCTTACCAGCTATTTTTGGTGCTATGATCACTATTAATTATTATGGAGATATCCAATTTAACTCTTTATGTTCAAATCTGGTCAAGCTCCAGCACACAAACTATAAACTCACGCACTACAGTTTCCGATAGTTTGATTCTATTCATGGGATAAACATCCCAATCACCAATGAATTCCAACTGGAAAAAGAGCCAAAATTGCTACCCACTCTAAGTACAGGAATACCTCCGAAGCAAGAATGCATGTCTCCCCTGCAAGCTGCAGAATTGTCTTCGAATATTTTTGGAAGATACCTAACTGCCTCTCACCAGTTTCCGAATGGTAGCCAGAGGTTGGATGGTTGGATTCAGCATCCATCGGATGGTCACTATTTCCCCTCTCTGCCAACCCCTCCCAGGACCACAGTGGTTTCTTTTCTTTTCCTCTCCTTGTTAAAGCATAATATGGTGGTGGGAGCTCAGATTTGGCTTCAAGCCCACCTGAATTGGAGCCTCACCGCTCACAACCTTTAACTTGTCCAAGCCATAGTTTCCTCGTCGCTAAACAGAGATCTTAACAGCAACTGAGCAGAGCTACCGTGAGAAGAAATAGATAAAAGATAGTTTATGTTAGGAGGAAAAGTATGAGGTGAGATTTCCTTGGTCTCCCCTAAGACTTTCTCAAAGAAATTTCAAACAGTAGGGCCTGTGCTCCACCTAACTGCAGTGACTAAGCCAGAGTGTTCCACAAGGAACAAGACAATGTCCAGGGTCCACCTTCTGTAATAGAAGCATATTCTCCACCCTGCACATTGTTGGCCAGATTAATCTCCCCAAATGGCTCCTCACCTTGCAGAAAATCCTTCCATGGTTCCACAATGCCCACTGAATAAAATATAGACTCCTGGCCACCATAATTCATCCCCATCCCAGCTTTCTAACCTCTTATCCCACTGATTCCCTCCACCTTTTTCTTCTAACCTCTTATCCCACTGATTCCTTTCTTCTTCCTTCTCCCCCTCCCCCTCCCCTCCTTCTTCTTTTTGTTCTTTTTCTTTCCTTTTTTTTTTTTTTTTTTTTTGATAGAGAAGGGAGTCTCCTCATGTTGCCCAGGCTGGTCTCGAACTCCTGGCCACAAGTGATCCTCCCATCTCAGCCTCCCAAAGTGCTGGGATTGCAGGCATGAGCCACTGCACTTAGCCTCCTTCCACCTTCTGATGCAACCAAAGCTTACAGCTCCACGTACTTGGCAACAGGCTTATCTCTGTATAAAGTCCTGTAAGGAGGAATCCCATCTCATTCATCCCAAAACATCAAGTACAGTAGCTTGCACATAATGACATGTAGTAATCACTCACTGATAAGAAAGTGGATGAATTCCTCCTGGGAAAACTCACTGAGGGCAAGGACTGAGGAAGATAAAGCAGATGATATTAACTATATGTTGTGATGGATAAACTTATGAACAAATGATAATCAAGGAAAACAAAATGACTACAAAAAGCATGCAACCGAAAAAACAATTTTACTATTTACATGCCATTTTCCGGGTGAATCCAGCTAAGGATGTTAATACACTTTTGAATTACGTTGGTTCAACTTTTCATTCCAAAAACCTTACCAGCCAACCACATGAAAATCGCTGTGTGCCAAGCATTATCTAAAGCTGTGTGGAGTATGCAAAGATGATGAAGACATGATCTCTGGCCTCAAAGGGCTTACCCTGCAAAGACGAAGGCAGGCACGTCAGCATTAAAGCAAGCTTTCAAGCAAGACGTGGTGTCCTGGAGGTGAGTCGAAGCCCCCGGGATGAGCACACTGGAGCGGGCGGCTGCCCTGCGGCCAGGCACCCACCGCCACTGCTCACACTGATTACGGGCATCTGACACATTCGGTGTGGGTTCCCTCTCTGCATCAGACTCACCCCCACTGGTTCATCCGCCTTACAATAACATGACTCTGCACTTTAAATAGATAAATTTTTTCAAAGGCCTATGGGGGAGTTTTAATATTTTATGTAAAAACCCAGAAGAAAGAGAGGACTCTGGAAGGCTTCCTAGAAGAGGGGGCATCTGAACTGGGCCTGGAAGCCGAGGGATCCTCAGGTGGAAGAGAAGAAAGACATTCCCAACAAAAGGAAGAACAACGACAAGGGCAAATGACTGGGGACGACCGCATGTTTGAGCCATTGGTGATACAAAGAAGCTGCTCCACAGGGAACATGAGAGCCGCGGTGGAGAAAATGCTGGAAGGTTTCCCTGCAAGCTGCTAGTTCACAGTCAGCCATGTGTCCTTGCACCTTAGCAAGGGTCCCTGCCGACTAAGTGGAGGAAATCCCCCAGTCCAGCCAGGGCACACACCCGCTGACGCGCTTTCCTCCTGCTGCCCCGGTCCGCCTTCCCTACCGGGAAACACCAGTGCCTGAGCCCAGAGGCACCAATGTCCTGCAGGCGTCTTTGTGTCTGGACAGGAAATAACAGTTGGAGGACCGAGTCAATCACTGCAACTGAATTCAGCCAACGCGTATGAGGGTACCGTGTCCACGCGAGTCATGTGGCTCAGCCCTCCACAACACATAACCGGTTCAAAACAGGCAGTTACTGACAATAGAGGGGAGACGGTGAAATACTGAAGTAAACCACAGAAATATCTAGGCCTTTGAATAACACCTTCCAATTTATCCCCCCAGGGAAGTGAAGAGTCTGGCAAACATCCAATCAATGCCATCACCGCAGCCGGTCACCCCAGCTGTGAGGGCCTCGGCACCTGATGGTCACACCTCCCCAGCCACTCTGTAGCTGCGTGGGATGAAGAGTGTGAGGTGGTTTGGTTAAAACACGATGCAGGTGGAATAATGCGTCCCAAGTATCCCACATGCTAGCCTCTGCGACCTGTGAACAGACTGTGTTATGTGACAAATGGGAATTAAGGAGGCAGTCGATTTAAAGGTTGTCTGTTGACCTTGACAGAGGTGAATTTTCCTGGATCATCCATGTGGTCACAATGCAGGGAAGAAGCCTCAGTATGGCACGGCCAGCTCCAGGGCTCCCTCCAGTTCCTGAGTCCCGCTGGCTAAGGTTTGCACCTTAGGTGTTCTCCCAGCCCTTCCATGGCCTGGCGTGGCATCACTCAGAGGACCTGGGGACACTCTGGGCGGATAGGAAGACCTGTCTTGTCTTCTGCCCTATGAAGGCATTGTTTCTGGGGGGTCTTGCCATTATCTTTGATTCTCTAACTTGGGTTTCTTACCTGAATTGGAGCCAACTGTCTTTAATTCCTCCTTACTTGAGGATTATAAACTTATCCATAAACACTCTCTTTACAAACCGATTCAAACCAAACAAAAGATAGTACAAAAAATATTTTTGTTCCTATTCATCATTTCCTCTTAGAAACTTATATAAAAGCACCTCAAAGACAGGCCTGGCTATTATCAAAGGCACGACCCAGTCCTTCCCGCAATGGACCACAGACTACAAATGCACACGCCTTAGAGCTGCTCTCCAACACTGCAGGTGCACAGCTGTGACACGCCCTGCTGCTCGCAGTCATTAGCTATCATTTTCTGAAATGCACAGGGGAAAATGTTCCAAATCCTCAATAACCTTCCAAAAGAAAAAAGAAAAAAGCTGGCTGTATCCTCGGAACAAAACCATTTCTTACTGGGAAACAGGAACACATGCCCTGAGTGAGATATTTGCGGCCACCAGGAACTGGCTCTGACACTCCCTCCCTCATCTGTTTGTTCCAGCCACCCTGGAGAGCGGTCCATGCACCAGGAGCGGAAGAAACTGTCAACCCTTCATGTCTTTGCTCTTGCTGTTCTTTCAACCAAAAATGCCCTGTTCACCCACTGGCCGCCAGATGACATCGCCTCCCTCCTTCCGGCCAGTCAGAAGTCGGTGGTGAGGCACGCCCCAGTTTCTCTGGTCAAAGAGATAGCTCTTAGTTCATGATGGGTAACTCCAGTAAATTAAAAAGAATAAAAAGAAGATACAGCTTCTTCCTCTTCTGTCCCTTAGCCTTTGGCTTGCTATGCTTCCATGAAGCCCATCTTTCATTCTTTTCACGACCAGGAATGGTTATTTACCTGCTTGTCTCTCTAACCAAACGATAAGCTCTTTGAAAGCATGGATCTGAAATTTTCAACTTTACATCTTCACAGCACAGGGCTTCACACGCAGCTGTTCAAAAATGTCTGCTGAAGGAATGAATTCCTCTGAGGGTTTTATTTAAGATATTTGTTTGCAAAAGAGAGTCTTCAATTTAATTTCATCATTATCATGTTTGTTTTCACAGTACTTAAAACTAATTTTAAGGATTTTTAAAATCTTTGTCCCAAGCCTAAAGAGAACAAAAATTTTTGCAACTCCTCTTACCACTCTGCTTCACAACGCATATATTATGCATCTTCTTCCAATTATTTACAACTCAGTTATAATCCACACATGACCTTGCCGGGCTATATTATTCAATAAAGTTCAACTTTTCCAAAGGATTGAGTAAAATGAAAAATTTCCACAGGACATAAAACTAAACCAACAATGAATTTGCTTCCATACAGTTGTGATATTTCACTGAATTTCTTTATCTACTATAGCTCTTGTAAGAACAAATGAACGGCTTCTCATGCTGTGAATAATTCACAATAAATACACAAATGCTTTTATTCATTTTACTTAACAGATCTGTCGTTATGGCAATTTTTTTTCATCTACTCAGTAATACTATTGAACCATTATTGAATGGATTATATTTAAATTCTTAAGCCCCCAAATGTTATTCTGAGGCTGCTTTTACTAATTTTTATCTTGAAATACCACAGAAGTGAAGAACCCTAAGGCCTTTTTCATGAGTCCCAAGCAGAGAGGTTACCACAAGGGCAGCCGCGACAATAAATTCACTACCATATTCAAGCACTGCTATTTTTCCTCTCACAAGACATTTCTGGATTCAAAATACAACAGAAAAAAAATTATTTACTGCACAGTTCGACAAAACATACTGAGTACTTAACCTGGTCACAATACACTGAGCAGGTTACTTGATTTCTGCAGCTGAAAAAATGAAGGGAAGGGGCTGGCAATCGTTGCTACGGAAACTCCCAATTGCAGCATGGTGCGAGAAGGGAAGGTACTTTCTATCAGATTCTTGCTTACCCATGCGCTCCGATTTACTTCACTCCAGCATAAGTGAATTCCCCACACTGTGCTTCATCAGCTTTACAGCATCTCAAAATTCTAAAACAGAACTTTTTGCCCACATGCTACATATATTGTAATGGGGAGAATCTTAGTTTCTCAGACTTACTAGTGTGTCATTTTCAAAACCACAAAAGGAATGACTCAAACCTACAGCTCAACAACAACAAGAAAATCAAAAATGAAGAAAGCCCTTGAATAGACACTCCTCCTAAGAAGACAGACAAATGGCTAGGAGCGCATGAAAAGGTGCCCAGCATCATTAGTTACTGGGGAATGCAAATCAAAACCTTCATGAGCTACCACTTCATACCTATTAGGGTGACCCTATCCAAAAAAAAAAAAAAGATAATAATAACAAATGTTTGCAATAGGTGTGGAGAAGCTGGAACCTGTGTGCATTGCTGGTGGGGATGCAAAATGGTACAGCTATGGAAAACAATTTGGTGGCTCTTCAAACGGTCAACATAGGATTACCATATGACCCAGCCATTCTACAGAATTGAAATAACTGAAAGCAGGGACTGAAACAGATACTTTTATACCAATGATCACAGCAGCCTTATTCACAATAGCCAAATTAATAAGAACCCCAGTGTCTATCAACAGATGAATGCACGAACACAATGTGGGAATATTACTCAGTCTTAAAGAGGAATGAAGTTCTGATGCATGCCACAACATGGATGGACCTGGAAAACATTCTGCAGAGCAAAATAAGCCAGACATGAAAAGACAAAGACTGTATGATTCCACTTACATGAGACACCCCGAGCGGTCAAATTCACAGACAGAAAGCAGAATGCTGGCTGCCAGGGGCTGCAGGAAGCAGATTATTGTTTAATGGGTATAGAGATTCTGATCCAGATACCGAAAAAGTTTTGGAAATGGATGGTGGTGATGGTTAGGCAACCTTGTGTATGTCATTAACGTCACCAAATTATACATTTTAAGATGATTATAATGGTAAATCTTGTTATGTAAATTTTACCACAGTTTAAAAAAGAATGCTTCAACATGCATTTATGACTTCCCTACTTGCTGCCGCTGTTTCCTTCAGTCCTTTTATGGATGATAATTATTCCTTAATTTCAGGCAACTTAAATATTCACTATGGTCAAACACACACACGCACACGCACACACACACACGCAAAGAGAGAAAATGAGGCATTTTCAAAATGAAGTAAGGGCCACTTTTCCCTTCAAGGTGAAAGTAGGACCTACCTAGAAAAAGAGCTACATAAAATCCCTTCTAGATCCATGTGGGGAAGCAAACAAAGGAACTTACAAATATACTCTATTAGGCTGTTATTTTAAATAAGCAACAGTAACTCTAGAGCACTAAGGGGAAGCCGTAAAAAAATCTTTTTATTTTGAAATTATTTCAAATCCACATAAAAATTTCAAAAATAGTGCCAGGAGTTCCTGGATATCTTTCATCAGCTTCCTTCACTTTACCGTGGGGGGCAGGAGTACTGATTCTGCAGCTCTGCTGGTTACAGTGTCTCCCCACAAGGGAAGGGGAAGTAGAGAGGGGAGATAATTATCAGGATTTAACCGCATCAGTTTTCCTTAATGACAAAAGACACCAGACCATAGTTCCACGTTCCGAACTCAATGTGGGAGAATTGTGGAAAACAGAAAGAACAACAAAACAATACATTGTTTTATGCCTATTTTACAGTCTATTAAGAATCTGTTCTTAAAATAAAATAAAATAAAATGTATACACTTGGCAAAAAATCTGTCACATTAGCACTGTGGCTTCCCCTACAATCTGAAACAACCCCACAGGGCCCATGGAAGAACTCTAAAAGGGATTCACAGATAAGTAAAATCGTTTCTGGAACTGTCATCTTACTTACCTAATTGTGTTTTCTCTATCTGGATAAATTAGGCTCCTCACTCTAAGGAATGCAGACCATCTACCTACCTGGCTACCTCAAATCCAAGAGGATTACTTTTCTTTCGTTTTATATCTCCCTCTACATACAGTTAGCACGGAATAAACACCCACTAAATAAATGACTGAATGGATGAATGATCAAAATAGTCAACTGTTTCAGTTGAGCACTCTCCTCTACCCCATCTCCCAAACTGCAACGACTTTCAAGAAAAAAAAAAAAAAATCGTAATGCATTAAAAGCACCTGTAAGTTAAGTAAATCCTCTCCTATAACATTTTCAATTCGCCCTGACTTCACCAATCATCAGGATGACGGCACCCAAAAGTGGAAAGAGCAGGTCATCTACATTCCCTACAGGGGCCTTCCTCGCAGGCTCCCCAAGTTTCCAGCCTCTACAATGGAGAGAAGAAAGAGGAGCAGCAGTCCTGACGCACATCCCCAGGTGTCCAGCCTCTGTCTGCCTTCTAGGGCCTTACCTTCAAAGGTCAGCTAAACAGTGTGTATGAGTTAAGTTTTCCCATATGAACAAAAATCCCAGCATCCCAAGAAAAAGCCAATAAAGATTTACCTTCAGGACTATTATTTTAAAGTGAGATTATGCTTTGCTGTTCTTCTGTCAGTTGCAAATCCCCAAACCTACTAGAATTCACTTAAAACTAATCTACAGTGTTTTCATTGGAAGAAAGCAATCAGGAAAGCTCTAAGCCACTGAGCAGCTGGGAATTTCGTTGCTGAAGGTTTGGTTTAGTCTTTATTTTTCTAGCTGCTGGCCCTGCTAACATGATTCCATGAAGGTCGCATTTAATCTTGCAGAGAAAAGCTACCTAAGCAGTTCTTAGGTAGTCTTCAGTAAAAATAAATTGCCTTGGCTCTCTGGATAAGTCTGTTGCTTCAACCCAACAATTACAGTCAAAGAGAACAAATGAAGGCAACTGTAAAATACTATACTTGATTTCAAAAGAATTTCATGGCGTAGATGTCATAGGCTATGTTTGTTAATAACAAAGTTATTGTTAACAAAGAACCCATGGAAACAGTTGCAGCTTCCAAATGTTTATCTCTGGTTCATCACCAAATATAGCTTATTTATACTTACAAGAAGGTACTAGTATCATCATTGGAACTTAAATATCAAAGGAATGAACTGATAAGATTTTTTAAAGGTCTGGATACAAAGGAGAAAAACCAAACAATTTTTCACCTTCTGGGTGTGGAACCCCTAATACAAAGTGACAAATCCTAATGCAAAGTGACAAATCCTAATGTTTATGTGTTCAATTCATATACCATTAGGTTTCCAGTACAAACTAGATGCCATCCTTCCTGAGCTGGAATTCAGCCTTTCAAGCTAACCTTTGCTTTACAGCTGAAAATCAAATAAACTAATATTTATCTAGGTCTCAAAGGTGTCAAACACTGGTGAGGAATGCAAATAAATCGAACTGGATCCTGGCTCTCAAATAACTTACCACATAGGTGACACAAATGGAAAAATCCAAATAATCAAAGATGTTCTTAACAGTTCAAGAGTCTAGAAAACATTCATCTCATCAAGATGCAGATAGCTAACTACCCTAGGAATGGGACGTATAGTATGCTGCTTCCACAGAAATTCAGAGCATTTCATTGTTTTAGGCTAAAGAGATCAGGTACGGTTTGTGGGGAGAGGCACAAGGAGATTCATACAGTTGTGACCAAAACAACCACTCCAACTCTACTTTCCTTCAGTCCTTTCAGGACTGCACTCAAGCTTTCCCCCTGTATTCTCTTCACACCTTGATTCATTTCCTTATGCTGCACCAACCAAGATGGTAGCCACCAGCCAGATGGGTCTACTGTGCACTTGGAATGTGGCTGGGCTGAATTAAGACGGGCTATGGGTGTAAAGGACACATAGGATTTTAAATACTCAGTATGAAAAAAGAATGTAAAATATCTCATTAATATTTTTACATTAACGACATACTGAAATATTTTAGATAAAATGAGTTAAATGAGAAATATTATTACAATTAATTTTACCTACTTTTTACTTTTCCAAGTGGCTACTAGAAAATTAAAACTATACATGTGGCTCACATTAGATTCGTATTGGACAATGTTGTGTGTGTTATATATGTATACATATGTGTATATATGTACATATGTGTATATGTGTGTATATATGTATACATGTCTGTATATATGTACATATGTGTATATGTGTATATATGTATACATATGTGTATATATGTACATATGTGTATGTGTATATGTGTACATATGTGTATATGTATACATTGTATATATGTACGTGTGTATATGTACATGTGTGTATGTGTGTATATATGTATACATATGTGTATATATGTACATATTACATGTCTGTATATATGTACATATGTGTATATGTGTGTATATGTATACATATGTGTATATATGTACATATGTGTATGTGTATATGTGTACATATGTGTATATGTATACATTGTATATATGTACGTGTGTATATGTACATGTGTGTATGTGTGTATATATGTATACATATGTGTATATATGTACATATGTGTATGTGTGTGTATATGTACATGTGTATATGTGTGTATATATGTATACATATGTATATATGTAACGTATGTGTATATGTGTGTGTATATGCGTACATGTGTATGTATGTGTGTATATATGTATACATATGTGTATATATGTACATATGTATATGTGTGTATATATGTACATATGTGTATGTGTATATATATACATATGTGTGTATATGTACATATGTGTATATGTGTGTGCGCATATATATGTGTGTATATGTATTTTGATGGGCTATGCTACGGCATTCAGCTTCTGAACTCGTAATGGTCACGCCCAATCCTACTTCCATAGCAATCTAAAAACATCTCCATGTTCATAAAGAGAGTGAAACTATTCTAATATTTTTTTCAGATAAATATTGGAGATTTGAGGTCTTCAGTTGTGAAAAGTCAGAGGTCACACTCTGATTAAGTTCTACTGTCATTCTCCAACAGAGGTCTTTTAAAGGCAGGTGTGAGGGGAAAATAAAGCTTCCCAGGCTTCTTTCCAGACTCCTCAGAGTTCCTATAAAATGCCTTCACCTCCTAAGATACAGAAATGAATACAATACAAAGGGAAAGAATGTATAGGACATGAAGCTAGGGAATGCATATGATATGAAGATAGGGACCGTTTAGGACATGAAGGTAGGGACTATATAGGACATGAAGATAGAGAAGGTACAGGATATGAAGACAGGGACCATTTAGGACATGATGGTCGGGAATGTATAGGATATGAAGATAGGGAATGTATAGGACATGCAGATGGGGACTATACAGGATATGAAGATGGGGACTGTATAGGACATGCAGATGGGGACTATACAGGATATGAAGATGGGGACTGTTTAGGACATGCAGATGGGGACTATACAGGATATGAAGATGGGGAATGTTTAGGACATGAAGATAGGGAATGTATAGGATATGAAGATGGGGACTGTTTAGGACATGAAGATAAGGAATGTATAGGGTAGGAAGATGGGGACCATAAAGGGTCTGAAGGTAGGAACATATATGACATGAAGGTAAGGAATGTATAGGATAGGGAATGTATGGGATATGAATATAGGAACCATATAGGATATGAAGATAGCGACTGTATAGCATATGAAGACAGGGAATGTATAGAACATGAAGATAGGGACTATATAGGACATGAAGACAGGGAAAGTATAGGATGTGAAGATAGGGAAAGTTCACTCTCACTTCCCCTACAAACATTTTATACTTCACTTACCATGAGAATTAGATCTGTAGCCATTTGTGTACATTAAATGCTCTTTTCCAAAAGGATAATAAAACCTCTAATCTCCTCAAGAGGACCAAATAGTTTCAGCCTGGACTGGTTCCCAAGGTGCTAGGAAGACCTATCTCCCTAGGCATGTGTGTTTCAAAAGGAATGAAAAACAGACCTTGGAGACATCCCCAGGTTGTAAGTGTCTCACATTCTAAAAGGTCAGGATAAGACCCCTGGAACCTTTTCATCCCATGTCAGGGGAGCTAAGGTGTTGTTTGTTTTTCCTTTTCCTTTTTCTTTTTTTGCTCTCTCTCTCCTTTTGGGACGGGAGAGGGACAGCTGCTCTGTCCCTGTCAACAGAGTGTAGCCCACATGTACATTCCATCAGTTTTCAGTGTCACCTAAGGGTCCAGGTTTAGAGGCCTGACACAGCAGTGTCACTGAGACTGTTGCCCCAGTTGTAAATATCAACAAGGCACTCTCTTCTCCTACCCAGGTGTTCTGTGTTTCTGCAGTATTCATATGTATAAAGAATGTTAACTGTAAAGTGAGATCATATCTCAAGCCCTTCACAGTTACTGACAAAACATTATGTCCCAACTTCACCAGAAAGTCACCCATCTAAGTGTCTCCAAGTAGCCACAGCTGTCTGAGGACAAGGGCTTCCAACAGCCCCGCTAGGAAAGCCCTGGCTCTAGAGCCTGGTCCACACGTGGAGGCAGAAAGGCTCGAGAATGGCCCCGTCCCCGCACAGCCTCCTCCTCAGCAGCACCCAGTGTGTTCTTCCTAACCTATCGTGGACCAGAGGTCAGGGCAGAGATGCCCTATGAGCACTGTCTTGAGAATATTTTTCTGGTTAAAAGGGTAATTGGTAATTGTGCTTGCTGTTTTAAATTTGGAAAATACAAAAATGTTTCAAGGAGGGAAAAAAAGCTAAACACTCACAATTCCACCATCAAAAAGGTATGTTTCCTTCCAGGTTTTTTTAAATACACCAATATACACATACGTTTTTAAAATAAAATTAGAGGCACAATTTCACATTCTTTTTTCCCCACCCAACCAACATAGATCATAAATATTTTCCCGTCACTAAATGCTGCTCAAAAACACAAGCTTTGTAAGTTACCTATACTCTGTCTGGATGTGCCGTAATTTGTTCAAATGTGTCCCTACTGTTGGATATTTAAGTTGTTTCCAAGTTTTTATATAACAGAAGCTAATTCAATAAACATCCTTGTACATAAATCTTTGTTCCCATCTCTGGTTACTTCACATAAGTAGGTTCCAAGAAGCAGAATTACTGGAACAGAGAGCTTAATATTTTTAAGACTTTAAGTATATAGCACCAAGGTAAATTCCAGAAAGTTTATTTCAATGTAGAATCCCGACTACAGTCACTGTGGAGTACCGAGTGCCCTACTCAGTGACCCACACTACCCAGTTACGGAATTCACAGTTCAGTTTTAACTTGTCCCATCTGTTCTTTAGGAAAACACATTATCAGCCCATTCTATGTCCCTGATTCCATATTTAACTCCCACAATCGGAATGGCACAATTACATTGATTTATCATTACAAACTACAAATATGAATGCATTAAATTATTACATGTGCCCTGAAAATATGTACATCTATTATGCATTCTTTCAAGAATTTAAAAATAAAATAAAAACAGTACCAAGGAAGATAGGTATGGGGGGAGAAGGGCCTAAGAGAGCCATTACAGTATTTCCGTGGATGCCTCCAAAGGCAACTTTAGATTGAGTTTGGGGCCTCACATAGTGAGTATCAATTTCCCCATTCCCAAACAATGCATCAACACCGGCACAGTTATACATTCTGAGATGTGCACCATTAAGCAATTTTGTCATTGTGTGAACATCACAGAGCGTACTTACACAAACCTAGATGGTCTAACCTCCTACACACCCAGGCTTATGGTATGGCCTATGGCTTCCAGGCTGCAAACATGTACTGCAGGTTACTGTACTGAGGCCTGTAGGCACCTGTAGCCCAATGGCAAGTATTTGTGTATCTAAACATAGAAAAAGGTAGAGTAGAAGTCTGATATTATAACCTTATGGGGCCATAGTCATGCATGTGGTCCACTGTTGACCTAAATGTCATGATGCAGCAACATAACTGTACCCCTACGGTGACTTCAACCATGTCTCCAAGCGACAGCTACTCACAACTTCATGTTTCCTTGTAGAATAATGTCAGCAGCTGCCTAGCAGTTTTCCCATCAGCCTTTATCATCCCCAGGATAAAAGTCAGCAGTGGACGGTCCTCCAGTCTTTTGACTGGTCCTTGGGTTATTACTAATTACCTAACCAACTTCAACTCACCCCTCCGACCTCTAACACTCTTTCCGTGACATTTGTGCAGAAAATCTCCCTGCCTGATTCTCTCTTCACTCTCTCCCATTCAAGAATCCAGGAGGCACTAGTCACCCGTTTCCTTTTCATCACCCCATCCCCCAACTCTCACTTTCCAACAGCCTCCCATTCCTATCACCCAACACACCCATCATATCTAGGTGTTAAGACGCTCTCTTATCACCACTGTAATTTTTCTCATCTTCTCCAATAGATCTAGGATAAAAAGGACAAAAGAACTCTTTCAAAAATAACAAGGTAGATATTACTTGAAATAAAGCAATTTGTATGCAGTTCCTCCTCATCTGAAAGGTCAATCTCATGAAATGGGAAAATCGGTAGGATTGTAAGGTTAGGGGGCCAGGACAGCGTATTCTATCTACAGAGTACTTCTTTGGATCTTCCCAAAATCTGACATTCATAAGAACAATTAAAACGTACGCTCCATAAGAACAAATTAAAATGTATGCTCATCTCTCCTTCGATGGCATTAGGTGTGCGAGTATCAAATGCCTTCAGCAGATAGCAACAGAGTGTTAAGTATGCCCAAACGAAATTATTTATGAAAATTACACAGAAAGTAGTTAATTCTCAAAAAGTCTTCATTTAATGAAAACAGGACAGGCTTTTATCACACAAAATCCTAAATTAAGGTATTTTGCTGAACTAGTCTTGCCTCTGGGATAAAAATACTTAGAATCCATAATCAGAAAGAACCACACACACCTGCTTCTCATCCGCAGACATTCTCTGACAACTCTGCTCTTTCTTGCTTATCAGAAGGGAACACTAAACTGATAAAGGAGTTATAAACCAAAACAGAAGCAAAACCAAACCAAACACCTAATTATCCATGGCCTTCCTGGACAAAGAGGCAAATACATAAAATAAAATAAAGTCCTTCTTGCCTCTTCAAAATGGAAAATTCAGCTGGGCGTGGTGGCTCATACCTGTAATCCCAGTACTTTGGGAGGCCGAGGCAGACAGATGACCTGAGGTCAAGAGTTCGAGACCAGACTGGTCAACATGGCGAAACCCTGTCTCTACTAAAAATACAAAATTAGCTGGGCATGGTGGCAGGCACCTGTAATCCCAGCTACTCAGGAGGCTGAGGCAGGAGAATCAGTATAACCTAGGAAGCAGAGGTTGCAGTGAGCCGAGATCACACCACTGCACTCCAGCCCAGGAGACAAGATCAAGACTCTGTCTCAAAAAAGAAAAAAAAAGGAAAATTCAATGTATCACAAACTTAACATGAGTCCCATTTCTGTAGGGCAAGCAAGGTTGAGTGCACAGAGCCAACACAGTGACCACAGGCCCCTGTCCAAAGAGCTCTTTAAAATGTGGAAAGAGGTTTCATCTGAGCCGAGGAAGAGATCAACTATTTGGCCCTGGGAAGAGATCCTTGATTCAGTGGCTTTCCATTTTTGCTCTGGCCACACACCTGAGGGAGACTAGGGAACAGGGATCCAATGGTGAATAAGAGGCTCGCTATTCAGGGCAGGAAGGGGAAGGAGGGGAAAGGGGGCTATAGATAATCTCAAATCTAAAGGGTCCTGTGTAATTTCTAAAAGTCCCCTCCCCAGGCGATTTTCATTACACACATAGGTTGTCTCCTAAGGAAGACAGAACTATCCAGCCACGTTTTACAGAGTGAAAACTTCCAGAGGGGGAGGTGATTGGATTACTAAAAGGCCACTCTAGGCATCTGAGTTCATGCACCTTCCACCACAGAGCCTTGTACACTGCTGGCTGTCAACAAATATTTAATAAACATTTGAAATAACAACACAATGTCTGCATTTAAGAAAACCATTGCATGTGTTACTACGTTTAACAAAATCAATTATTCATTTAAAATAATTGCTTGGGGTCCCTGGATCCCCAAGCAGACCTCAAGTTACTGATGGATGGCCCCAGCTAGTCTCAGTGCCTCAGAAAGCCTCACGGGATGGTGAGTTTCTCTACACAGAGCTGGCCAGCCTGTCCAACACACCACGGGTCTCTACATTTGGCTAAACAAGATCAACTAGATTTGATGATACCCGTTTTCTCAAGGCAATCAGGAGTTCTGACTGGAAGTCATATGTGTTTCGGAGGAATAAAAATGGACACAAGGGCCAGGTGCAGTGGCTCACGCCTATAATCCCAGCACTTTGGGATGCTGAGGAGGGAGGATCATTTGAGGCCAAGGGTTTGAGACCAGTCTGGGCAACATAGCAAGACCCCATCTCTACACAAAAATGTATGTCAGGCTTTGTGGTGGCACATGCCTGTTGTCCCAGCTACTCAGGAGACTGAGGCAGGAGGATCACTTGTGCCCAGAAGTTTGAACCTGCAGTGAGCTATGATCGAGCCACTGCACTCCAGCCTGGTCGACAGAGTGACACTTTGACTCTAATAAAAGGAAAAGGATACATGAAGTCTTCTTACATAAACACAATTTGTTTCAGAGACAGTTTGTCATAAGATGGAGCTTCTGAGGGGAAACATTATTTTTAGGGGATCTTTGAAGGTCAATGCCAAGACTTCAGGCCTGCTGCTTGCTCTGAATCCAAAGAGCCCCAGATGGAGTCCCAGGGACAAAGGGGACCTGTGAGCTGGGTTTCCTGCTTGAGTGTTTTCCTTGGTACTCTATAAAAAATACTGGCTTCATGTTCAAATCTGGACCCTATATGTTATTCATCATTCTTTGTTCTTTGGTGATAAAGTTTGATGGAACCTCCTCACCCACTTTTCCATCAGTCACTCCTGCCACCAGAGCCACTCCTCAATTCAGCACACTAGGCATTAAGCTGGCACCGTGCACCGACCACTGATTACACTCAGGCCAAACACAGGGGGCCAACGGGGCAGGCAGAGACAGAAGGTCCTGACCTCCTATGCCTGTGCAGAAAGGAACATCGTGTCCCATACAGATGAAAAGAAGAACTAATTTTTACTAATAATAACTGACATTTCACCACAGTTTCATTTATTTGCATATATTATGTATTTTAACATAGGTTATAAATATATACTATCAGTTATATTTACTTTCATGTATGTTGTCACATATACAGAGTTGGGCACACAGTAAGCATTCAATAAATGCACATGAGCCAAGATGGTAAAGCAGGCCGGTGCGGTGGCTTATGCCTGTAATCCCAGCACTTCAGGAGGCTGAAGTGGGCAGATCACCTGAGGTCAGGAGTTCGAGACAAGCCTGGCCAGCATGCTGAAACCCTGTCTCTACTAAAAATACAAAAATTAGCCAGGCACGGTAGCACACGCCTGTAATCCCAACTACTCAGGAAGCTGAGGCACAGGAATTGCTTGAACCTGGAAGCAGAGTTCTGCAGTGAGCTGAAATTGTGCCACTGCACTCTAGTCTGGGCGACAGAGCAAGACGCTGTCTCAAAAAAAAAAAAAAAGATGGTAAAAGCAAAATACTAAAATCAGCCCAGTGCACACCTGCAATGGCAGATAATGAAGAAGCTGACACGAGAGTGAAGAAGATTCAGACTAAAGCACAGAGAGGCTTGGGAAGATTTTCTTATCTGATAGAAAGAGGGAAAATACATTGGTCCAATCACTATTATTTCCATATCATTTGGTCTCCATGGATACCACCTAACTTTCCTTCTGAAAGGAAGAAATTCACTGACAATATCGGGTTTCACTGTTAAATATTTTTTGATACTTTACATAAAACAGTTATTCCATGTTTAATCTTTTATCATTATTTATAGACGCTCAGAAGTAAAATCCCTCCTTGCTGGAAATTCCATGAGAAAGACAGTGTCTAATCCAGTCATGATTATCTGGCCCTTTTACATTAAGAATAATCTGATAGAATTTTGAAAGTTAATGCCTTACACATTTGTAGACTGCCATAATTTATGCAATGTGCTTTCATATACAGTATCTCAATTGTTCATGAAAGCAACACTATGGGACATAGTTAAGAATTATTATTACCCTCCTTACAGCTAACCCCAAAAGGTAATAACTGTATGTATTTTTTGTTGTTAATGGTCAGCTCACTAACCAGAACACAACCGAGCGTAAAGATACTGTCTCTCTCGCTGTCAGTTGAGTACACAGAGGCTAGCACTGTGTCTGGCTTTTAATAGATGTGCTAAGGATATTTATTGAGTGTCTACCTAAATTATCTTGTCTGCGTTAAGCCCTTTTTGGTATAAGGTAGATAAGGGAACTATAACCCAGATACTCAATTTAGATAGAGTATAGTGGTTTTTCACTATCCAAAGCATATTATGTGAAAATGCTCTAAACAGAGTTTTGTATGAGATGAGGTTAAGAATAAAAACATAACATCGTTGGTAACATGAGAAAATTGATGCACATCAAATGTGGAGTTTCCAAAGTTTCTATTTTTCCAGTAAGTTTAAACATCTTTCGCTCTGGTACGCTATTTGCCTAATAAAGTGTTTCAGAAAGTGGGATAAAGGTGGGACCATTGTTCATAAGGCTGTCAGAACTTCATGGCACACATGTGTTTGCCATAATTTGCTTCCAGTTTGACTACAAATCCTTGCTTTTGATTATGATGACATTTTTACAGGTAAGTAAATCTGAAATAACTGGAACTTTCTCTAACAAAAAAATGACAACTCACTGAGAATGAAATATGTAAATGTTTAATTTTAACAAGCAGTTACAAATCGTAACAGACAAGAACTCTTGGATCTAAGAGACCAAAATGTAATTTCTTACACAACAAAGTTACAAGTTATAATCGTTCACTAATTACAGTGAAATTCCGGACTTTGACACATCAATCAATAGATGTTGCAACGTTCCCCCTAGAGATCCCAGTTCAAGTCTTAAATATTCCATCTGCTGAAGTTTCCTCAGAAAAGGCTCCTTTTCCCAGGGTTTTTTAGGTTTCTATTTTTGCCCCTTCTCCCCCTAAAAGAATAAACGAAAGTTGGGGAAATCAGAGAATCCTGAATCTTCGTGCGCGGTGAAGTTAAACAGTCACCCTCTGGGCCTGGTGGGGATAACTGCATCTGCCTGGCATCAAGGCTATCCACCTCCTGGTCTAACCCCAGACCCCCTTGTGCACCTGCCCTTAAGCACCAAAA